TGGAAAGAGACTAAAAAGTGACGTAAACCAACCCTATGTCAAAATAATGAGAATAATAATAATAAAAATAATAAATAACTAGGAATATAATATAGGGAACGATCGGAAGTAATATTTTTCTTCATGAATCCAAAACAATTGTATGGTAACAAAAATGAAACATGTCTGAGATCCTATTTTAATGTGTATAATATTCATTGTCACATTACCTCATAATATATAATAAAATTACTTTTGTTTAGTTTAATTAAGTCAATTCGTTATTAATAAATGTGCATATTATTATATTATTTATATTACATCAAATATATTATTTTTTTTTTATAATCCATTTTATTATTAGTAAATAATAAAAATAAAAACACTTAAATAAAAAGTCTGATCACAAAAATGACAAAAAATAGTAACCAAAAATAATTAATTTTGATTTCGTAAAATTATAGATTTTAGGAAAACGATCTATTAAAAGATTTACTGAAGTCATCAGTTCTGAACATATTATATCCATAAAAAATGGTTGTTGTGTCAAGTGATGGATGAGAATATTCTGAACGGTGATTTTGAAAAACAATTAGAATAATATAATGTTATTTTTAAAATCCATTTGGTTATGTATTTTATATATTAACGTTTAGATGACAATCTGGTGAATCTTACTTTGTGGAAATTATGATATTATTTGATTTTACTTTTAACAAATAGGCACTATATTAATATATAATTAAGAACACACCAATAAATATATTTTTCGGAATACTGTTTGACTCGGAGTGTAGAACTTTATAATCGATTTTTGTGAGGCTGAAAATAATTTAAAATATTAATGTTGTGATGCCGGGCCAATTATCTATATTGACTATAGTTTTTTGTTTACCATAATTGCTGAGAGAGAAACAACTTTATTCAAAGTGAACTCTGCCCGTCTACCGGGTTGCCTATATGACACAGTGTAAAAATCAAATATAATTGTTACAACGGAATGGATAAAAATAGTATATAAATGAGATTAATACAAGTAAAACATACAATATAATATGGAGTGTTAATAGAATATAAATTGAAAATCATTGCACTTTGACAGCACAGTCGACATCAATAACCACACACCATTGTTTTTTTTTTTTTATTATTATTGTTCTAGTATGTGCGGATTAAGACGGGGACTTGAATTGTTGCATTTGAAACGTCGTCGCCTTGACGATGTACCTATTTGATTATAATAGTACCCATTGTAAGACATTGCTGAACGTTCCGAAAAAAAGTACCCATTCCGTGGTAAAAATATAAGCATGATATCATATATTTTGTTAATGATAAAATTATAGCCTATGGAATAATAATACAATACAGATATATCAGCATTTTTTTCATACCTCCGGACGCATCGAAGCGGAATTTGCGTACTACTGTAAAGTCCAATTCCACAATCGAATGACACTAAAACCTTTAAGCATCTCCGGGGACCGGATGTGCGTTCACAGATCATGGGATTCTTAAAACGATCGTTCGAACCACTCGTAAAAAACGCTTGGACAATTTTCCCCGAGAATTCCCAAACTCAATTGTTGTCGTACGGCTGCATAATGGTATTATGGCTATCGATGTGTAATCGACTATAATAATATTTCAGATAAACTTTCATCACGCTACAGTGCTACACCAAAGATATATATTCTAATAGATCACCGAGACCTGCAGGGTCAAAACGATATCACCGTCAACAAATAAAAAAGTCCCAAGCTAAAACGTGAACGGTTTTGTACCATTTTTTTTTGGGAATATTATACAGTATTATATTATATTATATTATTATATGAATAAAAATTTAATATTTTTATGACGAAATATATTTTCAAAGCCCCGCGGTGTTTTAAATCCACAATAAATATTATTATAATAAGCCAAAATTAAAAAAAACAAAGGTAATTTAATACGAAGATATTGTTCACATTTGTCAAACGAAATAAAAAGTTTATGACTCGTAACATGTTACACTACCATATCCTTGAAAAATAACCTCACGTTCAGTTATAATATTATAATATGGAAGCTAAGCACTAAAAAAAAAGAACATTGTTGAAATTGTATTTTTTTAGGTAAAATTCATATTATTTAGTAAAATCAATTTTTAAGCATGTTTTAATTTCCTTAAGAGTTGGTGTTGCAAACTACATAGGTTAGTTAAAAAACGAAAAATATCCTTCGTACAGGTGACTAAGTAGTTTTGTTTAAATTCGTATTTTTCTTCAAATGTTTAAACTCGAAATAAAATTAAAAATATTAGAAACTGCTACATTTTATATTAGAAATCCAATATTTCAATTTTCAATAGAAGTTGCCAAGTTTTAAATCGGAAAATATAGCTGCAAGTTAATTTAATTCAATTTAAGCAGGTAGCATAAGTTATAGAAATCATATAATGTGATGTTAATTATTATTTATTAATGTATATTATTTAAAAATAAATACTATTTTTATACTATGTAATATATAGCCATATAGGTATTGTTTTGTATGATAATTGTTTTCAATAAATGTGTCACAACTAAATTTACCTTCACTAAGGCCGGTAGCGGATCCAAAGGCGGTGATTTCTTATATTCCTCATACAGTTTTTAAAAAGCCGAATCGCATCAATTTATGTAAATAAATAAATATAATAATTCATAATTAAATATTATATTACATATTGTGACATTATATATTACAATATACTGTTAATGAACCTACTATTGAAATTTATTTAATCTTTTTCAATCTAACCTTTTTTTTTAGTTATTTCCTTCTAGGGTATTTTTTCTGCCGGTCATTTTTCATGGAATTTCTTACCCTTGCCTATACACACACACACACACACACCAGAAATTTAATCTAAGTACTAAATGGTTGGATTTGTAAGCTACATAGGTAGATGACCCGAAAACGCTGGTTGGTACTGATAATAATATATTCGACAATAGACTTTGCCGATCGCAATACGCTATTACATCGCGAGTATTACCTAAATCGATTTTGGCTTTGTAGTCCCTCCCTCTTGCTGTTGTATTCATTAGGTCGTAGAAAATTAAATTCGATTTAAGTCATTCGTGTTTACATCACCCCAACGGCTGCTTAATACAACCACCGAACCAGTATAGCGCTATTATATATTGTCTGGCATTATAAAGGCGTCGATTGTTGAATTACTGATGCAATTATTATTCTAAACTTCCCTAATGCTGGATCTTATTTCTCATAAAGATCTCTCACGTTGCGCGTATAACGCGGACTTCTCCCAAAATTTAATCAGTGACATATTTTAAGCTATGCATAGTCATATTGTTACATATTATTATATTTTATGCGTGTATTAATTTCTTCTTTGCTCGGTATAGAACAATGTTGAGAAAACAACAATGTATACTATACCCACATTGAAAGGACACGAAAAATTGTCCTTTGAGAAAAAGCAAAACTTGTCCAATTAACGGGTCGTTTATTATTTGTATATTATGATACAGTGTTCAAACTTTTGAAGTTTTTGTTTGTAATAATTGATAGCAAAGTTTAATTATACAACTATTTTTGAAAAAAAAAAAAAAACACCTAACAATACACATAAACTACGATGGTAGTTAAACTTAAACTGTGCAGTAATTAATTATTCGTCGTAAGGGTTACAATGCAAATTGACATTTAAAGGTTAAATGCAGATGTTTATATTAAAATCAAGTAATAAAGTATTATTTATTTAATTTTTGTTCCGTAACATGCTCAACTATACTCTAAAAAATAAACCTTTATTATTAGCATCAAGTCACCAAAGAAACGAAATAATATATAAATTACAGTTAAACTCATTGCAAACTTTAAGATGATGTACCTTACAATACTTGCTATAATATTATAAGAAACGAATAATATTTTATATATACCTTATCATCTTATAGCATATAAAAAAACTCGTGTCAAGGTGTTTGTGGTCGTACTCCTCCGAAACTGCTCGGCCGATTTTAATAAAAGAATTTTGTTTATTTGGTAGGTATTAGAATAGGTCGAAAAGTATTTTTCACCCTCCTACCACCACCCCCCTTTTTAAATAGTAATTTTAATAGGTGATTTAGTAGGTGATTTTTTGGTATGGTGGACAGTTTTGTTTATAAATATTAAATGTTTACTAATATAATTTTTATTTGATGAAGAAAATCTGAAAATATCATATTTTGTTTATATTATAATATGAAAAGATAATTTTTTATTTTGTTTTTATTTTACTAAGAAGAATTTTTTATGACTGTAGAATTAATTATAATATTTAAAAATTTTGTTTTTTTGTTATGAGTTAATTTATTATTATGTGTTCACATTCATATTATACAATTATTAAATGGATTAACATAAATTATTTATTTATCTCATTATTTACCACTTTGCCAAAATATGTTTTCACTTTGCTCTAGTATCCGGGCAAAGAGAATAAAATTCCACATTTAAAATTTTTTAATTAATTGAGTGCTTATTAAATTTTTTGAAGGAATAAATAATGAATTCGAGAAGTCAATTTATGATTATATTAAAAAATAGTTCTTAAAATAATAGTTTGGACACCATTTATTGACACATAAGGTTAACCTATGCGCTTTGCCCTAGTCTCCCCTGTACTATTGGTTATAACTTATAAGGGGAATAATAAGTAGAAATTAATATTTATTATTTGGGCAGATAAGGCACAGGCATGAATCAAATCAAATTTTCTCATATTGCCTATACTTGATAAAATGTCACATTTTCCTACCAGGGAGTCTGAGTTGTACCGAAAGGGAGTTGAACAGTCATAATTTTGTTTAAAGTTGTAATTTTTTACTGGCGACGAAGCTATAGTAATACTATATGAATATAAAATATGTGCTATTATTGATTACAATATAGTTATAGTCAGTATATAGTCACAGTTATACGAAACGTAACAATACGAGTGTAATCCTTTGATTAGGTAATAAAACAATTAATATTGTACTTACCGAATTGTTGTAGGCATTTTCCGAAAAGCTTCATGAACCCAGAGCCTAATTGTACGAACTCTAGTCGTTTGTCCAACACCAAGTGCCACGGAAAAGCCTTGCAAAAGCTCGTTACACCCATTTTAAGATCGTTGGCTCGATGCGACAAAAACGGAGCAGAGTCTTGAACGTCTTCATCGCCGACCGTGGTCTTTATTGTGTACCTGAACAATTATCATACAATTATAATTTATAATATTCTGTGAAACCATCTATCGTACATTAATGTTTTGCTAAATTTTCGTATATAATTTGAAATTTTGAACGAATTATTATTTTATTATTTTAACAAAAGTATATATATAATATATATATCTCGTATAATATTTATACACAAAAAGTAAATTTGGTAAACTGAGATACTACAACATGAAATTACGTGTGGACGGAGGCCCGCAAGTGTGGAAACTCTCTGACTCGGAGGAATTATTATTCATGATTGATAAGTAATAAAGTTACTTATTCTTTTGTTATTATAATTAACAACCTACACATGTTATGTTACAGGAACTTTAGTATACTAGTGGTGAACATGTATCTCCATGAATATTGATTCTTCAATAATATGCATACAATACCTACCCGTAAATTGTTCAACGATATGACCTTGAGAAATATTCCATCTAGAATTTTCTAATTATTAGCCAAACTTTAAAACCAAATTATGTTCTCTTCCATTTTCTCATTAAATTAACATTACGAAACTTATGTGCAGAGGTGAAATAATTAGTGTAACAATTTCTCTATATTCGCTTTCGTTTCGTTCAGATCTTGACCCGAAACAAGTAGGTAGTCTAACGACGTAATGTATATTAGCTATGGTCAGCTGTCTAACTGGGTGATGGACAAAATCATCATTAGCAATCAAACAACAATGTTTCGTGATCGATCTCACATTATTCTTATACACGTACGATATTTCTGACCCGACCAACCCCTCACAATCGGTGGAAACAAGTGGTCCTGATTGGTAAGTACTGCTGTTACGATTACGGGAGCGAGTGTCACTAATGAGACCATTGCCTCGACTGAGATTTTGTCAACTGTACGAGTAATTTAATAGCACGCATATAATATGGCATAATACATCATATTATTGTATATGAAATATTTCTGGGAAAAAAGTGACAAACAATGAAGTGCGTGCTTCATTATACTTTCACGTGTGTTAAAATAGAGATACCTACCTATATATAATAGCATACCGAAATAAAATAATGACATACCAAATTTGGCCGTTTTATTTTAACGTTTCCCCGAGTGGAATTTTATTTTGAGGTCGCTCTTGGCCCTCGGTGTATTATACTGTTTAGGTATCGTATAAGATTTAGGAATAGAAATTTCTTGGTGGTATAGTGATTTTTGAGAGAGTGTAATCCACCGGACAAAATATCTTGGAACCGATGCTAATGAATATTTTAATGGGATACTTTGAAAAGTCCACGCGGAAAATCAGCACATTCGTGAGCACAAGCAATTGACAGTGTTGACGTGTTGTTTAATCGAAGCGCTGACGGAGTAGATTGTTCGAAGATTAAACGTTAATTACTTTTCAATGACAGTGAAAACTGCCCTTTTGTCTTCGTATAAGTTACGCAGACTCGAGAGAAACCGCCATCAGATGTGATCAACTAACTTGGGATTTAGTGGCAGGGCCCACAATACGGTATTTAACAAAAGATTGTTGGCGACGATCTCATTGAATTCCATGTGTTTCAGGCTTGTAACACTATTACTAAGTTTAACCTGGACCCAAATTACTAATGCTACAATGAATCGTGTTAATTTGATTGCATATCATAATAATATGAATACAGTATCGTTGTGACGCGACCGGTCTGTTATAATCGCAAAGTAACATTTTGTTTATAAATTCATTAACTTTCCAGGTGAAGACAATACAATACAATTTACACATTTCATTTTTATCTCGTAGGAAAGGTTGAAAATAATCCCCTTGTTTATATTTATATGTTAAAAAGGTACGATTATACAATATTATTTCACCATTATGACTTATGAATTATGACGTCTAATTTAAAACAACGAATCACAAATAGTACCTTTATAGAATGTGTACAATATTATATTAGATATTATAATATTTTCTGAATAGTATTATTTTTATTCATATACCTACGTTGTTATGAAATATTACAGCTTAACTTTAATTTAATCTATGATATTATATGATATTTCGCTAAGGTTTAAAAGTAAAATGCATTTATTTTAATTGAAAGTACAATAATAGATTCAAGTACAATATTTTATTGCACCTGGAAAATTGTATAATATACTATGTGCCGTGGTCTCGAAAGTTTTCATTATATATATATATATATATATATATATATATATTTGTTTCCTCATAATAATAATGTTATATGATATTACATTTCCTTTTACAAATTTTCACCGTCATTTTCCGACTTGATGGTTTTTTGTTTTTTGTTTTCTGAATACATTTTAAAATTATATTTATTAATTAAATAATGTTCGTATTTGAACTTTTTCGAAAATCAAAATTATTAGTTGAAATAATTGATTATAATTAAAAAAAAAAAAAAACCCAATGCCCATTCTAATCTCGATTGATGTAGTAAGTACTATTGAAACATTTTTAGAACAGTTTTAAAAATATATCGGTTGCAAATACTTTTTTCAGTTAATTTTATGTTGTAGTGGGAATATTAGTATATTATACTTAATAATTGTAAGACATTGGTTGTTGAATATTGAAACTAGTTTGGAGAAGCTATACGTACCTCGGTTTACACACAAACCATATCTAATAATAATTATTATAAGTATAACGATGACATATTGAATACAAAACCAATCGATTTTCTGGTTAGAATCTAAATATATTTTTCATAAACACAATGTAATACTACGTGAACTCACAAGCTCGTCCGTATATGGAATTGTAAATTTCGGTCGTTCACATAGAATACATAAGTTTTTTTTACCTACAATCACCTTCGGTAAATCCGACATTAAAAAGATTTATTTTGACAATATTCCCAGAGGAACACACTGCACAACCTCTGATTTTGAAATGGCTGGTTTAACGCCGTCAACTAATCAACTTGCAGGGTTAAAACCGCTATAGGGTTATAAATAAAATAAAATATTCTCCAGCTGAATGTGCTTCAGACGTCACGGGCTCAAACGAAAACACAACAATTGTTAAAAAAAATGAACCTTTCACGCCGTTTAAACAATAGTTCTTCTTAAAATATTAATATTATAATATATTATACCTACTGTGATACGTACATGATAATATGTTTTAGTTGCAACGAGTTACACTTTTTTAAAGATGTTCGTTGATAAATTTTTTTTAAAAAATTATAGTACTTTATTATTTTAATTAAATTCCCTTTATAATATAATAACTTGCTGCATTACGTGTTATACGGTTAATGCACTGTTTAAATATCTGTACAGCGTGCGAGAAAAAAATGCTTCAATTATAATAGATTTTTTATTATTATTAAAATAATTAATTTGTCGTTATAAAAATAACTAAAATTAACTGGTAATTGTAATTTTGCTGTTTAATAATATGGTGGTTAAGCTATTATAGTATTTACTTGGGGCTAAAAGAAAAAAAAAGAGGAATAGGACCGATTTGGTGACTGATCTGTTGTAGAGTAGATTCACTCGAACATTGTCTTTAAATAAGTCACTGTAATTTATGTGTTAAATGTGCATTCAATGATAAATTATATGAAAAACGATTGTAAGCAAAGACGTTAAGGCGGTTTGTCGGCCTGTATATTACCTGGTATATTAAAATAATTGCATTTATTATATAATCAATAATAATGTTTAAAATGTAAATTCTTATTTTTCAATTTTTAATACATTTGAAGACCATACTATTTTCGAATACTTGATTTTTTTTTTGTACCACTATTAAGGATGATCTTGTGACTATACAAACTTCTGATTTTTAAATAGAAACCCACCTTTTTACTTTTAATAATTCAACAGATATTTATTTTATTTTTTTTTGAGAATTTTGATGCATATAAATCAAAAACCAAGCGAGTTGCTTTGGAGTTCTATAACTGTATATACAAAAGCTAATAATATGTCTATGGCAATGTGTTAAGTAGTTATGAGGGCTTAGTTCATTTGAAAATGTTGGTCATTGCTATTGATATATCGACTATCAATATAAATAATTTCTAAAAATTATCATCTAAGTATAATAAATATTAAATAGCAAATCTAATATTAAATTGTAGTTATATTTTTGTCACCCCATTTTTAAGGGTTATTATATTACTGTCCTTAGTGTAAACATTTTAATAACTCAGAAACTACACATTCAAATGTATATACATAAATATTTTCAATAAAATTATCTTCTAAATAATTTTCAGTAAAGGGGTTCATTTGAAAATATGGTGTTTTGAAGTGCCATCCTTCAAAATACTGAAAATCATAATTTGAATAAATGTACTATTAAATAGAAAAATTATGGTCAGCATCCTTAATAAATCATCGGTATAGATGTCATATTATCATATTGTTGTTATTGACTTTTGAGTCAATACCTACTCACCGTAGAGCGATGTGAATAGTATAGGTTCGTGGTATTAAGGCCCTCTACACAATTTAAAATGTTATAGGCAATTTTTCATACATTCGACAATGTCAGCCTTGTAGTTGTATTAGTCGTAAAGGATCGTTAGTACCAGTAACCAACATCTGATTTTTCTAGGAACGAGACCTTTACGATGCGTTGGTGATATTTTTTTTTTGCGAAAGCTGTACGGAAGCTGTTCTCTTTCACAGAAATGTCATATTATAATAAATTTGTGATAGCGAAAAAAATGCTTCTTTTCACTCAGACAACTGTTGTTCCAACAATACGTCCAAACGATTACCTCGATTTGCATTCTATGATATTCTCATCCACAACATCGATTGAGGCACATTTTTAAATTTTATTTAGTTGAATAAAAAACTATTCAAGTTTCAAAGTTTTCAAATTTTCGAAAATTTGAACAACATATTTTATTTCAATCTAAACTACAAAAATTAAAAATATAACTCAATTGATACGTTACGGAGAATCTGAATATTTTTCCAGAATAAAAATCGTCATAGTTGCCGACAAGTATCATTGGAGTTAAAAACTGTAGCTTAT